AATGCAGTTGCACGTGTTCACTAAATAACGCAATACTTCCAAATGGTATGACCGATTCAATCGAAATTGGCAACATGGATAGAGGAGGTATGTGGGATGATGCCACAAAAAACAATTGCTGCTAATTCCATTGTGTTTTCAAGCTACAGACCTAGTCTCGTTACTTTTGTGTCACACCTCGTATGTTACTGTGAAAGACCGAAATTGGAGAATGTCGACTTTCACCGGTGAATGTCAACAGATACTAAATACGTCGGTGAAAGATCGAATATTTTATTACATTCTTGTACATTCGGACCCTCACCAGTGTATGTCGACAATCACAGATATGGTCTGGTGGAGAAAGAGAGGAGCCGACAAAGAAGCGACTGGCTCTCTCCCGCCAAATCCTGTGTTCTGCTGGGAGTAAGACAGCTTTGTCAATCTTATGCAAGCTTTGATAATGCGAGCGTTTTCTTAATTTTTTTTTCCAATACCGTAATTTATACTGAATGGATACTGCAGTAAATCGTGATCTTTTTCTTGAAAAGTTAAATGCATTAATTGCGGGTAAATGAGAAGACAATTGCTTTTATTTTTCTCAAGAAAAGTATTCTAAAATACTTTCTGAAGTGGTTATCAATGAAGAATTGTTCAGTATACTATATGAAACTCACGCCAGAATAGGCCACGGAGGAAGAACACGTATGCTTAGAATGTACTATGTGTTTTAAATTCTTGGTCACTCCTCTCAAAAAAAGAGGCAAAAAAGTTATGTCACCCTGGTGACGTTTTATAGCGACTAAATTACGGAGAAGAAAATATAAATCTCCGACATGTTCAACATTCACCATTAGTTCATGGCGAATGTCGACATTTACCGGTGTAAGTCAGAAATAAAGGTATTTAGCAAATACGAGGTCTGTCTTAAAAGTATCCGACCTTCTTTAATTTCTTCGCTCCTGGCAAGTTTAGCTTCATTTGCCGGGTATGAGTATCAACTGCAAAGCTTTACGAACTCCCACGATATCGCAGTTTTCGTCGGGACGCCTTAGTTACCTACCTGAACTTAGCACACGACTTTCAAAAATTTTATTTCTTTCAATTGCATCGTATTTAGCATCGTTTGT